TTTGTGGTTTGTGGGAATAAAATGTCCTGAGCAGGGCGGGAAACTCGCTCTGTCCTCGGCTGGTGGCTCCGGCTTAGTCTACATCGCTTCACCTCAGATATTCTTGGTTTGAATTAGATTACGGAAAAGCTCTCATTATTTCAGCTGTTATACAAATACCTTAATTTGAGTCAGTTTAATTTCTGTGGCATGTTTGCACCTTATTCTGATTTATTTCTAAACACTTAACAGGCAGAAGAAAATTTTTGCAGTTTATTTCTTCAAAATAGAAGTAAAATATCACCTCAGTTATAAAAATTTTACAATATGACAACTGCTGAGTCAAACCTTTCAACCAAAACCAAATCCTCGAAAGCTGAACTACTAAAAGGTATAAAGTTGGTCCTTGCAGTGATCAAACACAACACATGATTGGGGGAACTAGATCACTGTGAACATTTTGTGTAAACACAAACAAATATGGTTTCCACAGTAAACATGTAAACAAACCGCTGATGGTGGAACGTCAAACACTAAGGAAAGCGTGTGAACTTCTGACGAAACTGCAGATAAAATTCTTGAATGGATTGATATGAAGTTTGGAACCGATATTGATGATGCCCAGAGATTCATGAGGTGCTAAATGCTAACATTAGCATGCTAAATGTACATATCAGAATGTGTACATTTAGCAGTTAATATGCTAATAAGCATGTCAATATGCTAATAATCTAACATATTAAGGTTAACTTACTAAATTTTATCATTTACACATGCTAACTGTTAGCTAGTTAACATGCTAAACATCAGCATGTTAACATTTTATGACATGTAAAAAAATGGCTAATTTGCTAACATGCTAACATTAGCATGCTAATGTACAGCATATTAACGTTGGCGCGTTAGCATGCTAATAAGCTAACATGCTACGGTTATCTTACTCAATGTTAGCATATACACATGCTAACTGTAAGCTAGTAAACATGCAAAACATCAGCATGTCAACATTTTTATGACATGTAAAAAAATTGCTAATTTGCTAACATGCTAACATTAGCATGCTAATGTACAGCATATTAAAGTTGGCAAGTTAGCATGCTAATAGATTACATGCTATGGTTATCTTACTAAATGTTAGCATATACACATGCTAACTGTAAGCTAGTTAACATGCTGATGTTTAGCATGTTAACATTTTATGACATGTAAAAAAAATTGCTAATTTGCTAACATGATGGAGAGAGGAAGATGGCGCCTGTGTGTTCGGCTGGCCGTCGGTCTCTCTCGTACTTATTTTTATGGATTTATCTATGGATGTCTATCTGGGCTTCAAATTGCTGCACACGTCTGGTCTATGACCGACAGTCACTCCTGAACATTCGCACCTCTTTTATGGACTTTTACAAGCAGGATGTAGCGCACGTTTTTAATCAAACACACAGAAACACCACTACGCATACATTGGAATGTATTCGCCAGTGGCCGCTTATCACTTCACGAAGGAAACGCAGAAGGAAACGCGGGAGTCGGGGTGGACGCATCATCAGGTTGAAAACCACTGAAAGACTCAGGATCGATGCAAATCCAAACCATATGTCGGACGGCAATTACGTTGCCCGGCGACCGCGAGCCCTGGCTCATCGGTGGCTTCAATCTATCATTCCCCCGCGATTTTCGTCTGTCCATTTGGTTCGCTTACCTCGGGTTGGCCGCTGTCATCGGCAAAACGGTGTGAATCCCGGAAATCTACGTTCTCTGAAGAAAGGCGGAGTTTTCCCCGTTGTGATTCATCCGCCCAAAATGGCACTGATCAACGCTAGATCCTTGGTCAACAAAACCTTCCTGCTCAACGATTTCTTCTCCTCTCATAGTTTGGATTTCATGTTCATCACGGAATCCTGGACTACGGTTGGTGATCTAACCCCTTTTTCTGAACTAGTGCCAACTGACTGTTCGTTTTTTAACTCCCCCCGTCCGAACAGACGAGGGGGCGGGATCGTGACTATTTTTAAAAACTCTTTCTCTGTGCGATGCCGGCCGGTTCCTGTCAGTGCTTTTTCAAGTTTTGAAGCTCAACTACTTCACTTAGACTGGAATGGCCCTATTTTATTAGGGGTGATTTACCGTCCTCCACATTCACTCAAAGACTTCATTCAGCAATTTACAGAATTCATTGGTAATATCACCACAACCTATGACCGTTTTCTATTGGTGGGTGATTTTAATATTCACGTTTGTTGCCAATCTAACACCCTGTCAAAAGATTTTCTCAGCCTCATTGAATCTTTTAACCTAGTCCAGTGGATAAATGATTCCACTCATGTTAAGGGTCACACTTTGGACCTTGTGCTTTCATATGGGATGGTGATTAGTGATGTTGTGATATCTGATTTTATGCTTTCGGACCATAAGCCAATATTATTTTCTACATCTCTTCCTTGCATTGCTCAAACCACCAGTGCAGATGTAAGACTGTCTAGATCATACTCTCCTCATTTTGGCTCAAATTTTAACGAGCACTTTATGAATTCCTCCACACACTTGCTTCTGAACTCTCCACTACTGGAATTAGATGCCGACCAACATCTCGGTCTGTTATACTCCACTTGGTTTAATGCCCTTAATGAAACTGCTCCGCTTAAGCCCTTTAAACCTAAACCTAAATCTGAACCATGGCTCAACGTGGATATTCGGCGACTAAGACAAGCTAGTAGAAAGGCTGAGCGCAAATGGAAGAAGGACAAGCTACATATTTCACTTCAGTTATTTAAAGACAGTCTGTCGACCTACCAGAATGCTGTAAAGGCGGCAAAAGCTGCACACTTCTCTGACATGATAATGGCAAACCACTCTAGACCAAAGGTTTTATTTTCTGTTATCAACTCGGTTTTAAATCCTCCGGTAAATGTAATGAATGGTGTTTCGGATGAGCTATGTGAACGTTTCTTGAGATTTTTTATTGACAAAATATCTAACCTGAGATGCAATGCCAGCCGCTTTGAAACTAGTCAGTTGATGAATTCTGTTACCTGGGATGCTTTTGAGCCAATCAGTCTGAATCTCCTTAAAGAAATTATCACTAAGATGAAACCCTCGTACTGCTCTCTAGACATCATCTCTCCTAAGTGTCTTAAATTAGTTATTGATTCAGTTGGGCCAGGATTGGTTTCCTTTATTAATAAGTGCCTCCTTACCGGCTCTATCCCTGCTGCCCTTAAGGAGGCCACTGTCACTCCGTTACTCAAGAAGCCCTCACTGGATCCTACCGTGTTAAATAACTTCCGCCCTATCTCTGTTTTGCCTTTTGTCTCTAAGGTGTTAGAAAAAGTTGTGCTTGACCAACTCCAGATCTTTCTAAAACGCAATGATATTTCTGAAAAATTTCAATCTGGTTTTAAGTCTGCTCACAGTACTGAATCTGCTCTGCTGAGAGTTTTAAATGACATCTATCGTTCCACTGACACTGGTGATTCTGTGGCTCTTATTCTTCTGGATCTGTCGGCAGCTTTTGATACGATCGACCACTCCATCCTGTTATCCAGACTAGAATGTGATGTGGGGCTAAAAGGCATCGTCCTCCAGTGGTTCCAGTCTTATCTCTCGGGTCGTACTTTCAGAGTAAAGCTAGGAAATTGCTCATCGTCTGTTGCGCCTCTAACCTATGGCCTTCCTCAAGGATCTATCTTAGCGCCTTCTCTCTTTTCCCTCTACATGTTACCGCTGGGCAACATTCTAAGAAGACATGGGGTATCTTTTCACTGTTATGCAGACGACACCCAAATGTACGTTCCAATCAAGAGAAATGATCCCTCTGCCCTTTCATCATTCTTAGGCTGTCTAGATGAAGTAAAATTTTGGCTGGACCAAAATTTTTTGTTTTTAAATGAAACCAAAACAGAGATCATTGTTTTCGGGCCCACTGTTAATCCCCAGGCTGCCACCCTCGACCTAGGCAGACTAGCGGCGTTTAGATCCTCAAGTGTTCGGAACCTGGGCGTTCTACTGGATGAGTCTTTAAATTTTGATAAACAAATCTCCTCGGTAATAAGCTCTAGTTTTTATCACCTACGTCTCTTGTCAAAAGTCAAACCTTTTCTTAATCCTAAAACTCTTGAGATGGCTGTTCATGCTTTTATTACCACACGTGTAGATTACTGCAATTCACTTTACTGTGGTATCTCGAAATCCCAAACTGCTCGTCTGCAATTGGTGCAAAATGCCGCCGCAAGATTCCTCACAAATAGTCGTAAAAGTGATCATATCACCCCAATTCTGCGGTCTCTTCATTGGTTGCCCGTTAATTTCAGAACTGAGTTTAAAATCCTGTTATTTGTGTACAAAGCTTTATGCAACCAAGCACCTAGCTACCTAACTGAACTGCTACAACCGTATACTCCATCGAGAAGTCTCAGATCAGGCGAACAAAATCTGTTACAAGTCCCTCACTGCAGACTTAAACGCAGAGGGGATCGAGCTTTTTCTGTGGTTGGGCCTCGGCTGTGGAACAATTTGCCCTTAGACGTTAGGATAGCCCCTTCTGTGATCTCTTTTAAGTCACTTTTAAAAACGCACTTGTTTTCTTTGGCCTATAATTAAGGTTGTTTATGTATGAGTATCTTTGTATATACATATACCTATATGTATATGTGTGTGTGTGTATGTTTATATGTCCTTTCTGTTGTTTATTTTTGATAACTCTATGATTGCTTGTGCTTCTTCCGTTCTAAGCTGTTCTTATCTTTGCTGTACTGTTCTATGATGTGCTGCTATGCATGGTGTTAGTGTCTTTTAATTTTGTTGTTCTGTAAAGCACTTTGGTCAGTCATTGGCTGCTATAAAATGTGCTATATAAATAAAATGAACTTGAACTTGAACTAACATGCTAACATTAGCATGCAAATGTACAGCATATTAACATTGGCGCGTTAGCATGCTAATAAGCTAACATGCCACGGTTATCTTACTCAATGTTAGCATATACACATGCTAACTGTAAGCTAGTAAACATGCTAAACATCAGCATGTCAACATTTTTATGACATGTAAAAAAATTGCTAACATGCTAACATTAGCATGCTAATGTACAGCATATTAAAGTTGGCAAGTTAGCATGCTAATAGATTACATGCTATGGTTATCTTACTAAAAGTTAGCATATACACATGCTAACTGTAAGCTAGTTAACATGCTGATGTTTAGCATGTTAACATTTTATGACGTAAAAAAAATTGCTAATTTGCTAACATGCTAACATTAGCATGCTAATGTACAGCATATTAAAGTTGGCATGTTAGCATGCTAATAGATTACATGCTATGGTTATCTTACTAAATGTTAGCATACACATGCTAACTGTGAGCTTGTTAACATGCTAAACATCAGCATATCAACATGACATGTAAAAAAACATAATGCTAATTTGCTAATGTTAGCATGCAGCTGCAGTTACAGCTGACAATGTAGCCTGAAATGTCCTAAAAAGGCCAACGTACAGACGACAAAGCCTTCTGATTTCATGACCTTTCCTCTGACGCCACCTTCAGGACAAACTTTTCTTTTAATCCTGCCAACGGTTTTCTGGGGTGTAATGACCATTTCGGCCTCTTGGGGGCGCTGGTGTGTCGGTTAATGAGTCTGTCGGTGGATCACGCCACAGTAACCTGTTTAATATGGCGGCCATCTTAACTAGCGTTTGTTAATGAGAGCAGACTGTGTGTTAATGACCCTGTTGTTCATGTAAACGTAGCCGGAGCCCAGTGAACATCTTCACTGTGTTCGCCAGCCGAGCGATTTGTAGAGCACAAAAGATCCTCCTGATGTGGAGCCCCGCCCTCGAGTGGCCCCTGGGGGCTCCTGACTGAGTGTCTTAGTTGGCTGTGGGGACCAGCATGCCGACAGGAAGTGCAGAGCCTCTATTTTGGCCTTTGGGCAGGGCCACTTTGTTGAGGTCCCGGGTTTCGGCAGGCCACGAGGACGTCCTTTTGGTGGTCATGTGCCGCCGGGCGTGTTTGGTCAAGTGGTCGCTGCGCATGAAGCGGCGGTCGCACACGTTGCACACAAACTTTTTCTCGCCAGTGTGTGTCCGGCGGTGGCGGGAAAGCTCGTCGGAGCGGGCAAACTTTTTATCGCAGCCTTCCCAGTGACAGCTGAATGGCTTTTCACCTGCGGAGGAAGACGGGAAGACACAAACACAAGATGTTCAGGATTTTGTATCACAATTAAAGATGCTCCGAGTTTTGGGATTCAGTTATTCAACTAGTTGAGCTAGTTTTCCCTTTCCTTAAAAGCAACAAGCTAACAATGGTCAGGACACGTAGACAGTTTCTAGTAGCTTTTTAACACCCCGGGTACTTTTAGCGTTGTTTTTGCACATGTCGTGCTCCACAGTCAAGTTAGTAAGAATAAATATGCAATGTCCGGGTAGACTTTCAAAATAAAATTTAGTTAGGTTTAGGAAAACATCATGGGTTGGGTTAAAATAACTATGTTAGGACTTAAATTGCGTAAGTTAAATAAGTTACCCCTGTGGCGCCTCAGTGTCTTACCTGTGTGTGTGCGCAGGTGAGCCTTCAGGTGTGAGCTCTTGAAGTAGGTCTTCTTGCAGCCGGGGAAGTTGCAGACATAATTTCGTCTGCGGGAGAAGTCGGCTTGCGAGGTGCCGCCGCTCGCTCCGGTCGGCATGTAAATGGGAGCCGGGGCCAGGGGGAGGAGCTTGGTATTACCGAGGGTCATGACAGTCTGCGGGCCTTGCGGCGGCTGGGGAAGGTGCTGCTGGGGGACCACGAACATCACAGTCCCCTGTGTCACGGTGGAACCCACCAGCAGAGGCTGGGCAAAGCTGGAAGGAGACTGGGGCAGGATGGGCTTGGGCCCCCCATGAGTCTGCACCTGAACCGGACCCTGGACGAAGGCAGAGATCATCCCCGTCCGGCTGCTCAGCGGGAAGACCTGGCAGAGGACCGGAGAGGAAGAGACCGGAGTGGAAGAGGAGGATGAAGGCAGGGGGGAGGAGTGAGGAGGCGACGCTGAGGAGGGAGGAGAGGACGGGCTGTCAGGAGACGGAGGAGGTCCGTCCTTCTCCTCTGGAAGAATCTCTGGAAGTCCCGGCTGAGGCGGCGTGGAGGTTTCTGTCGGATTAGTGGTGGAGGGAGGTGGAGGAGGAGGACGAATGTGGAGGGGGTCGGCAGTGTGGCGGATGACGCTGGTGGCCATCGCTCTGCTGGATGGAGCCACGCAGGACGACTCTGCCTGAGGTGGAAGTGCTGAGGTGTCTGAGGTGAAGGGGGAGGAGGGCTGTGGGAGGCAGGTGAGGGAGTCACTGAGGGGGGCGGGGCCAGGGCGGGGTAAGACTGTGCTGCAGACGGGGCTCATAGCGGAGGTGGTGGTGGAGGCCTCAGCAAAGCTCGGACTGTGAGGTGGAGTCATACACTGAGGGAGATCACAACACGGATGAGATTTTATTTAAAAACAATGCACCATATGGAAGAAACATCCGATGGTAACAGAAACATTTTAAACGTAAAAACAGTTATATTTTATTAATTTGTTTGTTGATCATCACGTTATTGCTAATTTACAAACCAAAAGCCAGTTTAGTACTTAAATCTATAGTCTGGAATCCAGTGTTTTTTTTAGCATAGTTTATTTTTTCAGTTTTGAAGCAGATTTTGGATTTAATAAATGTTTCTTACAAGTGAGGACAGAGCGATCAGGTCTTTGGGTGTGTCCCCACCCTCCGGGTGGAGATGGATGGAGTCACAAGAGTCGGAGGTGGGGGTCAGTGGGCGTGGCTTGTGCGACCTTTGACCCCAGAAGCTCATGCTGACCAGTGCCTCGGCAGCCTCCAGGTCGTGGTACTCGATGCACGGCTTTAGCTCCATGGTCGTCACCGTCCGGCTGTCCATAGGGTCAACCTGAGGAAGAGCAGGATTCAAAATGGACTGGAATAAATGAGCAGAATTGAAAGCAAAATCACTCAAATCTAAACGATGCCAAATTTTAGCCACATTTTTTCCCATGTTTTTAAAGTACAATCTTTGCCGGCTAAACACATTGAAAACAGCAATTATATTATTAATTCAAAATAAAAATAGCGAGTATAAGGAAATTTTATCACCACTTCGCTTTCATAAAACTCATGTGTCTGTCAAACTTTCACCTCTTTCTAATACAATGATTAATCCACTTTCACAGGGAACCTAAACCAGGTTTTAATCATGTTGACTCCATGATCGATTCAATTAAATTCAATTAACAAAGGGCCAATTCAAAACATTCATTGCACTTTTCATATAGAGCAGGTTAAAACCGCACTCTTTGTAATATTAGTTACAGAAACCCAATAGTTTCCACCATGAGCAAGCACTTGGCGACACAAGCAAGGAAAAAAACGACTGGGTCAGTCTCACTTTTAGCCGGGTCAGGTTGCAGGTCTTATGTGATAAATGATGTGAGGGCAGAAAATCAAGTGTCTTCATTTTATAATGACTGAATAGCTCAAGGATCCCAAATGTGTTGTCCTCCAATGAAAACATGTGATCTCTCTGTGTTTTTTGTGCCCCCACAGGATACTTCTCTACTGAAAATGAAAATGTCCTGCTCTGATTTCGGAAGTGTCTTCTTATTTTCACAAGAATTGGGATCCCAAATGGGTTTGACCGAGTTCCCTCCTGATGAAGACCTTCTGTAATGAAATGTCCTTTTCCCTACAATGCTGTTTGTAAGATCCTTTGTGTCCACTCAGTCGATTTGTCAGCCAATAAGACCAAGAAAAACAAGTATCTTGTTTACACCGCAGCTTCAAATATGAGTTGGGATCCAAAAAGAGTTGATTAAGTTTCCTCAAGATTCAGACTGAGACTGTTCCCCTTATAGAAATGTCCTTCTTTCTATAGCCTAATGTTCTTGGTGTCTTCTTTTCACAACAATATTGAATATCATGTGGGATGCCAAATGTGTTCTGCTTAGTTCCTTCATTATTATGTTCTTTTGTGTCCAGAGGATCCGTTTTATTTCTTGGCTAAGAAGATTTAAATAAGTGTCTTCTAATTTTTACAATTACGAATTACTAAATAAGAATTTTCGATCCCAAATGGGTTCGGCTCAGTTCCCTTCTGATTTAGACTTTCTATAATTAAATGTCCTTTTCCCTACAATGCTGTTCTTAAGATTCTTTGTGTCAAATCAGTCAATTTATCAGCTAATAAAATCAAGATAGGCAAGTATCTTATTTTCACACAAGGCTTTAAATATTAGTTGGGATCCAAAATGGGTTTATTAAGTTTCCCTTAACATTCAGACTGACTGCCATTCCTACTTTCTATAATGCTTTTATGTTCATTTTGATTTCACAGCTAACAAGATGAAGGTGTCTTCTTTTCACAACAATACTGAATATCATGTGCCGAATGTGTTCTGCTTAGTTCCTTCATTATTCTGTCTGAGACTGTCCCCAAATTAAATGTCCTGTTCTCTAAAATATTGTTTATTCTCTTTTGTGTCCAGATAATTTCTCAGTGTGTCTTCTAATTTTCAAAATTACTAAATAAGAATTGGGATCCTACATGGGTTCGGCTGAGTTCCATTGTTCACCTGAGTTTCTACAATGTTATGTTCTTCCGTTTTATTTCACAGCTGAGTCGACGAACAAATGCCTTCTTCTTTTCACAGCAACTTTCAATGAGTTGGGTTTCCAAATGTGTTTGGCTGAGTTCCCTCGTGATTAGCATAAGGATAGTTTTTAATGTTCTAGAAAGTTTGACAGCTAATGAGACGAACACATTGTCTTCTTCTTCCTTTCACAGTAACTAAATTAAATATGAATTGGGATGCCAAATGGCTTTCTGGACATGGTTTCAGACTGGTTCTTCCTTCTCCAATGAAAGTGTTTTGAAGCTTTTTAAAACTTTAGTCCAGAAAATTAGTTAAACTACAACATACTAACAGCAGCAGCGATGCAAAATGTTTACGGAGTTGTCCGCTGCTGCTGGTCACATTTACAGTAAACGACTTCATAATGACCTGGTCGACTGGACATCAGCTGGTCCTCAACCAGCAGTCTATTCCTCTTTCTTCTTCTTCTTTTGGGAACGCATACCACACACCTAATTACCAGTGACGCCACTGTCTTCCCACCTCCTTCCTCCTGAGTCGTACCACCACATAGGAAGAGGAAGGAATACAAGGAATACAATAGTAATAATAATAAAAAGCGTCAGAGGCAGCCGGAGGGAGGAAAAATGACACCCAAAAAAATAAAAATACATTTAGGTGGGAGGTGAGTGGAGGGACAAAGGGTGCTCGGCTAAGTTGGCTGGCATCTGGCGAATGCCCAGTTGCACGAACAGGAAGAGTGGAGGGAGGGCGAGCGAGGGGCGACAGACCTAGATATATAAATGGAGAGGGAGAGAGAGAGGGGCCCACTGCAGCGGGTACACCCAGCCGACAGGGAACCTCCCCTGCACCCAGAATAGATGACTGGAGGTGGAGTGCCAGATTTTACGCGCCCCCCACCCAAAAAAACGCTGAACGAAACAAGCCACGCCTCCCTCATTAGCATGCACCGACTCACCCCTGAGAGAGAGAGAGAGAGAGAGGGAGGGAAAGAGAGAGGGAGGAAGCTCCCAACAGGAAGTGTAGTTGGAGAAAACAAAGTCAAACAGACAGTATATCGTGCTCCGGCGCTGAAATTTCCCACGCACAGGATCACACAAACACATCACACATAATGAGATTACAGCAGCAGGAAACAATGCAGAGACACTTATTCACATTATCAGCAGGGATTAATGTGACCGCTTCATAATTATTTAAATATTCATGTAAAAACCTGATCACTGACATGAATTAGCCCAGATATTGATTTAACTCTCATCCTTTCAGATGTTTTTGTGATTTTGTTTTCATATCCCTGTTGTTTCTTTGTTGTGCTCGGGCTGCTGTATTCAGGTGCAGCTTTTAATGAACAAAACCGAGCCTGAATCTGATTAATCCATCAGGGGATCAACAGAAAATGTATGATTCTAATGCTGACATTTGAATTTTGATTGACAGATACTTAATGAGAAGGGCACTCACAGGTTGCTGCTTATTAAAATGCATATATATATTTGCTTAAGTCTTTTATGATATTTTAGGTGTTTGGGCAGAAAACGTGGGCTTTGGAAAACTGTCACAGGCATTTTATACATCAAATGAACTATAGCTTGCATTTTAATTGACGACAAAAACACATCAAAGCAGCTTCGGATATGAGATAATATTAATAATCAGCAGATCTAAAAAATAATGTGACATTTTACATACTTCATGATTAATCATCTACACTCGCGGCAGTTTAATTATTATTCCATTAACAACAGGTAAAACACCTCCTCCGCACACACACAGCTCATCACAACCAGTGATGATCCAACAACAAAGACAAACCACCTGATTCGGCTCGTAAACAATAATAAACAGCAGTTACCAAAACAAAGACTTCCTCCTGAGTGTGAGAGCACCTTTAAACTTTAAGATGCAGCGATGCACTGCGGGGATGCAACTGTTGTGCACACGCACCCAGGAGACACTGGGTTCACTATGACCTCAGATAAACCAGCCGACAGCAACAACATCCCGCAGAAACAGCCGCAGGCGGCTTCACCGAGCTCACCTGGAGCCCGTTAACCCGCTCCAGCGGCTCACCTGAGAGCCGCGCGTGTTGTTATGAAGCTGCAGGTTAACGGCTCAGTTATAACAACAACAACAACAACTTTATAACGACACCTCGGCCGTTAAACAGGGCAGTTGCACCTGCCGTGCGGCGGCGGACTCACCTGACAGCAGCGCTCCGCCGTGAAGCTGAGCATCAGTTTAAACCGTGCGGGCAGAGGCGTGAAGCGGCGGCGGAGACGGTACCGGGAGCGCGAGCAGGCAATAATAAGCGGCGGCAGACGGGCTTCAGCTGAGAGGAGCCGGAAAAAAAACAAAAAGAGCAGAAAAAAACACAGAAACAAAATTCAGAGCAGTCTGGCGGGTGGTAACAATCAGCCAATCACAGGCAAAGGTGTAGCGGGCGGCGGCCAATCCGAGGTGAGGCGGTGCGTGATCAGTACGTGGCCGCGACGCGATTGGCCCGACGCGGGGTGCGTGGCCGTCGGGGGGCGTGGCCGGGGAGTCAGCGGTGTCAGAGTAAACCCGGTGAACCCGGCAGCGCGCGAGAACTGGGTGAAAGGCTGGGAAGCAGACAGGCGCGGGCACGCGCGCGAGAGGCATGTAGCGAACAACTGCAGCGAAAACACGCACAGAAATAACACTGATCAACAGAAACAAGGGGAGAAAACACAGGTTTAACATGTTGGCATGGCTGAAAGGACTCACAATAACACAAATTCTTAGAAACCTATTCATAAACACAATTATTACATTTGGTGTTTTTATCATGTTTCCTTTTAAATCGTTTTTAATGACTCTAATCATATTCTAATATTATGGTCATGCAAAATATAAGAAATCAACACAAATATGTTATTTTTATTTGTGTATGTATTCTGTTTATTGCTGGTTTCATGGTTAAAATGACAAATGTAAACTTATCTTCTCACAGTTTGTCCATTAATTGATTAGTCAGTTGACAGAAAAATAGTCTTAGAAAATTGATATTTTTGATTGAAACACATGCTGGTTCCAGCTGAAATGATCCTCTTCTTTATTCAATTTATTTATTTAACCCATTCAGGTCAGGGATCTCTTTTATAAGGGTGATCTGGCCCAATCATCAGCACAAAAACATTCCAGACAATAATAATACCACAAGAAAGATTTACATACACATGAAATAATTGAGCTAATTATGGTTGTAAATTGAATATGACTCAAAACAAGTTATTTAAATGTGTCACATTAAGTCCCTAGGAAATATGGGCAAAATATAATCATTAGTTGCAGCCTGATTTGCTGTTTTTTGTGTTATTTATAGTATCAACCTGTGTAAATATATTCTACTGTTGCACGCTGCTGAAGCCGATATAGACTCATGTAAAATGTAGATGTAAACACGAGTGTGTGGAGGAGGAGAGGGGAGCGAGTCAGGACTGCAGGAGCACTGGATTCTTTTTCTTTTGCACATTATAAAACGTCCTTCTACAGACAGAGCAATGTAAAGCTGCAGCTGCACAGGTCAGCACGGCGTCTAACCTGATGTCAGATTAAGACCAGAGGGTGAAAACATTTCGTCTGCTGGTCAGGCTCAATGCAAACTAAGTGTTTTTAGATGAAGCAGACGGGTTTCTGCAGCAAATGAATATCAAACCATGAAAAACAACCTGAACAAGTCGCCCTGCTGCATGTCTTTACAAAGTGGAAATGTGGCTGCAGCAGAGGAAGGTGGTGGTGGTGGAGGGGGGGGGGCATATTTCCCTTCACGTGCTGCGTTGACTCAGACATGTGCCCGTTAAACTCTGTTACAGGAAGAAACAAAGGAGGAAATAAAATACTACTACTAAGAAGAGACGGACCGGAACAAAAGAGACAAACCAAGAGCTGAGACCCTGCAGCTCGGAGGCCCTCAACATATTTCCTTATTGTCTTCTTCCTGTGCCATTTCCCTCTCTGCTATCTTACCCCCCCCACCCCCCACCCCCTACCCCCCCACCTCCTCCTCACCCCATCCTCCTCACCCCCTCCCCGCCGGGCCAATGAACCCGGGGACTCCTATGCGTCGAGGTTGTAAACAGCCTCTCCAATAAAGAAGTCCAGGGCGGGGCTAGGAGGCAGCCGGAGCACCCCGCCATCCTCCCCCCCATTCCCTAACACACACTCCTGCACATGCCGGCCCAGCACCAGCTTCTTTGTTGTGGCTGCGTGTTAACCCTTTACGCTACTGCGAGAGGCCGGAGGCCGAGACACACCGCCACCATCATCATCATTAACGTGACATGAACAAACAAGGGAGGAGGAAGAGGGGGAAGGAGGGAAGGAAGGTGGAGGTGATGGTGGCCTGTGGTGATACGTCATCTTGTCTGAGATAGAGGCAGACAAAGAGCTCATTTTAGTCCCAATGGCTGTTTGTGATGCTTTATCTAACAGTAGAAATCTCCCCAGATCACCCGCTCGCCTCCAAACACCTCTCGGCGGCGGCGAACTGGCTTGCCGTGCAGCTCGTACACAAACCAGATTAAGGGCTTCATTATTCAAAGTAAATTAGCTCAACATGCTGCCGTTGTAAACGTCTGCAGAGAGAGAGATGTAAACTCAGACACACTCAGAGAGAAAACTGGGACAAAAGCAGGATCTGGCAGCAGGCAGGGGTGACGTGAGTTCATTTTCATTTTCAAGTTCAGTGAGGTTGTGAAATAAAAGAAAAAAGAAAAAAAAAAAGGAAAAAAGAAAAACACACGGGCGGTCCGTCCATACAAAACGGTTTCCAGGCAGAAAACACTGCCAGACTTGTGCAGGAGGAAACCAGAGAAGAACTCAGCTCTGGCAGCTGTTTGCAGGATGAAGTCAGAGCCTGCAACCGACTAACTGAACTCGGGATGCTTCCCTTTCTGTAAAGTTAAAGACAAACTCCTTCCTTCTGTTGCAGCATGTCTTTATCTATTGGTTTATATCACAGGGACAGTACATATTAATAAACACTGCTGTAATCGCTGCAGAGTTTTGTGGTCCTGGACAGATGTTCCAGTCGCTGTAAAAACACAATATATAAGATTAAAATGATGAGATCATTTATAAGCATGCAGAGCGATAATAAAAAGAAAAGCAAACATTAAAGTCAGTAAAAACATCACTGATTCACCAGGCTCATAACACACAAACATCCAAAACAATGAAATAATATATTTATGTTAACAGAAATATGGACTAAATGAGGAAATATTCACCAGACTCCCTTGACAAAAACAGGAGTTGGTGGTCTGACTTTAAGTCACAATAATACACATAAACCCACCGATTGAGGCAGCAGCAGACCAGAGAGGTAAAATTACTGTTTTTGTCAAGGGAGTCTGGTGGCTTTCAACAGAGCGATATAGCGGCTGTTTCTGGTTAAACAAAAAGGATCTTACTCTAAAAAATATCTCTGCAGGGATCAGCGGCAAAAACAAGCTTCTTAGTGGTTGTACTTTGACAGCGCTGCTCATCATCAGTCTGTCAGGACGAGCTTCACTTGGATCAACACACAAAGCAAAAATGTTTGAAAGGCAGAAATAAATGCTCGGCTCTGGTGACCCTCCATGTTACCGCAGGGTCAAAGGTCGCCCCTCCTTCTTGACTTCCAAGAATGAGACCTCCAGGAACTACAACCCCCCTCCCAACACACTCACAATGCTCACGTTCACACGTGGCTGCTGTTTTTCAGCCGTTTCATGTTTCTGTTCATGTTAGGGGACCAAACTACTGATTTAAAAGTTTTAATGTTTATCCCAAATCCTCACGCACACATCCGGTAAGTCTGAATCATATAAAACATCCACAGACCAACGAGAGGTTGGTGCTTGAATCCTCCTCCATGTTTTACAGTCAGTCTAACATCATGGTTAGGTTAGTTTCACACTTTAGTTAACTGCTAACAGAGCCTGAAGCATCACCACGTTTGCTATGGTTACATGCAGGTTAATATTCCTGATTTGGGCAGATTCAGAAAAAGAAAAGCAACCGGAGCCGTCCTCTCGGATCAGAACAAGAACTTTTAGTCTATGACTTTAGAACCTGGGGTTGTTTAGACATGAATGCAGAGTTTAGTTCACAGATTAAACCCGGATTGTAGGCTAGTTCATGATCTAAATCGTGAATTTACTCCTTGTGTTAGTCACTGAATGAGGTTTAATCCCTGAATTTAGTTCTTTGGGTTTAGTTCTTCGGTTTAGTTGCTCAATTTAGTTCTTTGAGTTTTGTTCTTCAGTTTAGTTGTTCAATTTAGTTCTTTGAGTTTAGTCCTTCAGTTTTGTTCTTTGGGTTTAGTCCTTCAGTTTTGTTCTTTGGGTTTAGTCCCTCAGTTTAGTTCTTTGGGTTTAGTCCCTCAGTTTAGTTCTTTGGGTTTAGTCGCTCAGTTTAGTTTGTCAGTTTAGTTCTTTGAGTTTTGTTCTTCAGTTTAGTTGTTCAATTTAGTTCTTTGAGTTTAGTCCTTCAGTTTTGTTCTTTGGGTTTAGTCCTTCAGTTTTGTTCTTTGGGTTTAGTCCCTCAGTTTAGTTCTTTGGGTTTAGTCCCTCAGTTTAGTTCTTTGGGTTTAGTCGCTCAGTTTAGTTTGTCAGTTTAGTTCTTTGAGTTTAGTTCATCAGTTTAGCTCTTTGAGTTTAATTCTTTGAGTTTAGTTCTTTGAGTTCGGTCCCTTAGTTTAGTTCTTCAGTTCTTAAAGTTTCTGGGACTGTTTGGTCTTAGAGCATCAGACTCTGATCAGGCCAACAGATGTGACTTCCCCCTAAAGCAAACAGCAACGACCTCATCGACCACTGACACACCCACACTGAGTTGCTGTGAAGGGGGTCACTGGAATGTAGGTCACATCCAGGACGAAGAGGGCGGGGCAGCGACCGCCGTTGCTTAAACTCACAAGTACTTCTTTTCTTCCTACAGCTGAGATGAAAACACTCAGAAAGTCCAGCTCACATTTCTGCACGTGATCACTGTGATATTTTTACTCACTCTGTGTATCTAGAGCTGCAAAGTAATAATATAAATATCTGCTCCAGTTCACGTGTTCTACTACTCTACTGGAGTATTTCTTTCTCAACTACACTCCACGGGGAAACCTTTCTTCTACTCTACATTTATTTAACAGCTGGAGACGCTTACCAGATTCATATTTTACATTCAACAGGAGATAAGTATAGCTGCTGATGAGGGTCGTGAGATTTGATAATCAGCATACCTGATGCCTCTAAATTACATCAACTTTTGATCCTTACAGTAAACTGGCACTCAATAGTGAACTGGAGTTTTACATTGTTTGATGTTATTGTTTTTGTTTTCAGTAACACTTTT